CCGTCCTTCCCTCCCTCTCTTCTTCCCATCCTCCTTCTCCCGCTCTCTCTCAAAACAAAGGAGAGGAGTGTAAGAAGGAACCTTCACAAATTCTTGAAAGTCTGAATTCTTAAAGTTTTTGCAATTCTAGCAACATATATGTATAGATATATATTCATATATACATCCCCACATATATACAGGCTCCTTTTTTCTTTGATTCATGCCAAATGAAAGCCACACGAAAATATGTAATTTTTGATATATTCAGCTGTATTATTGGTTTCCATTAGCATAACCAAACTAATGGAAATTCCATTGTACACAAGATTCAATGTGGCTTTGAGAATTGCATATATATTTAACTCCTTTACTCTCTTCTGTCCAAGATAGCAAAACATTTTTTTGAAGTACTAAAGTTGAGGTAATTTTTGCCTTTTTTTTTTTAAAGCCTTTTCTTTTTAGTCATTAGTTAAACTTCACTCCTTTTTACAAAAGCACAGCGACTACAATTTGATAGCAGCTTGATGTCCATCAGTAAAAAATACACGAACAAGGTAGTTCAATGTAAGACACCAGAGTTGTGGAAAGTTAGTGTTCTCATACTGTGCTCACGTCCTTGTGAGATTTTGTCACCACACTGCGGCATTCAATTCGCTGTGGATTCTTACTTCAGTCATGTATTTACATTTTATATTATCATAACTAAATAGCTAATATATTCATAGAAAGTTAACGCACACTCAGCAATAGAAAAGTCCTATCGCAAGCTTTTAAGAACAGTGAAAGTATTTTTTGCTTATTGAAATGTCTAAAATTATTTCATTATAACAAAAAACATAGAGAAGATAGGGTCTTTCTACTCCAACTTTTTTTTTTTAAACTATCACGTTTTTGTATTTCTGAGTAGGTCTCCAATATAACTTAAGTGTATTTTAGATGTTTCCTACCCAATTATAAATCAGTGAGAAAGAGAACAAGATAAGCAAGTGAGAGCAGCAAAGAAGAAAAGAAAAAAAAATGGAGAAAGGGAAGAGATTTTCAGAAGAAATGGTTTGGAAATATTTAGCACAAATGAGCAGCCTTCCTAGAGCACTAGAAAACCATGCATTTGTTATGTTTCAGAAGTTGCACAAGTTATTTGCCATGTAACTAAAAATAGGTATAGCGATGCTTCTACAGCTTATTCTGAATTGTAGTTTTGCTAAGCATTTGGTAGAAAGACAGTCACTAACACAGCAATAACAAAATCTAATTTCATTTTTAAACCACAAAGAGATAGGAAGAACGCTCAGGAAGAAATTTCTCTAAGCTACAACATAAACCATCAGATACTAAAAGTCTAAAATTCCAACTGCTCGCTAATAAATGAAAAACATAGAATTTCACATTCATCCAAGGTTTAGCCGTTGTAAAATTCCTCTATTTAAATTCTGGTAGTAAAAGAACAAAATCCTCTATAATCCATACAAGTTATCTTAGGAAGCTGTACTAGCGAAATAAAAAGATGTCAGAAAAATTAGTTACCACTTAAAGTTCGAGGTATTTCATCTATTCATCGGGGTTGGCTTTGCAAAACCTTCGGCAGCAGCTGGCACTAAGCCCCTTTGAAACTTCCAAGAACTTCCGATTTCTCCAGACAGACTTGTTTCACCCCCTTCTCTTCATGGCTACAGATCAGGACAGCAACATTTTCTGTGAAAGAAAGATGACGATGCTATTTCAAACAAATTTCAAGTATGATTTATTGTTAATTTTCCTTCTGTAGTGCCCTCTGGATCTCTTAAACGCTACAAGAGCCACGCAGGGACCTCTGCTGAATCCTATTTGGAATCTACTACCCTTCGTGAGGCAGAAAATCTGAGTAGATTTTAGACAGATTTATACAAGCACAACTCAGAGATTTACCAAACGATCAAGAGCAAGAATAACGCTTTGGCACAATTACTGCCTCACAGGTTTCCACAAGCCCTCAGCATGCCCCTCCACCATCTCTTTAAACGCGTGCAAGCATTTCTCTTTTTCCATTTCGTTTTTCTATTTAACATTTCCATCCTAAAGAACTCCATACATGAACATAGCTGGAACACTTGATCTTGAAATGTATCTATTTACTAAAATTAGTCTTCTGTTCTGTGACTAGCTTTAAAGCTGTCAAACATGATGCCCAAAGGCCATCCTCTCAAAGAAAAAAAAAAAAGGAAAAAATGTGCCAGGGAGGAAGGAAGGGAAACACTTTTAGTTAAGAAGTACCATGCCACAATCCATGAGTGTTACTAAGATGACAACTGCTCCATACAGTAGTTACCTGAGAAGGAGATAAAACGACACTATCTTCACCCATCGCTGTTTTCAAGCCTTTCTCAATTTTTCTAACAGTTGATAGTACTTTTAAATTTGGAATATCCACATCTGAATTCTGGGATTCAGACCGTGCAGAAGGATTCAGACTGCACAGCTGGCATATTAGACTCTCTTCTCCACTTTAGCAATCAGTTTTCTTTTCTGAACTCCAGAGAAGGAGACTGCAGCAGTATGCTTAATTTTACCTGCTATATAGCCACAGCGTAACCCAGGACTCCAGAAGTCTTTGCTTTGTGACAAAAGCACGGCTTAAAGCGCACACACTGAAGAAAGGACTGCAAAAACCAGCTGGTGTAATTGAGGTCTTTGCCTAATAAAAGGAATAGGTGACCTTAAAGCTTTTCTTAATTCTAATTACAACATCCTAAACAAAAGAGAAAAAAAAATGAAGAAAACTAACTAGATATATTACGTGTTTTAAAGAGACATTTTTTTACATTAACTATGTTGGCATATAAGGACTTTATGGTGGTTAGACCTCTTTACAATAAAGGCTACTCAAATAAATAACCTTTACCTTAATCCAGGATAACTGAACTGTCAAAGACATTCATAGGCTTGCTCATCTCCTAATAAAGAAGCATTTGTCACTTTTCAGACAGTGTCCAGACCAGGCTCCTGAAATTCCTGTAGGTCTTTTAACCAGTTACTTCATGAAACTGTACTGTCTAGTGTTTGTGTTTTGTTTTTCCTCCTTTTGTTTGGCATTCTGCTACTGCAACTTTGAGTATGAAAACATTTGTGGATGACAAAATAGGAGGAAAGTAAACAGAAATGCCTGAAGACATTTTTTATTATGAAAGTTGCAGGTAAAACGGAACAGAGTGTCACTATCGGCACACTGACTCGACAAAAACAATGTCCCACTGAAGGGGGGAAAAATATATTTATTATATACTCTATATTTTTTTATTTTTCAGTGATCAATACTATAGCATTAATTTACAACATCTGAAGATAAATGATAAAAATAACATGCAATCCTTCCTTTTAGCTGCTGCTCCATATGCAGCGGACAGCTAACATGGGTGGAGTAAACGAAGACAAACCCCTTTCTTCAGTTTTTCCGTGGCCTTCCCCGGAGGCAGCAGAAGCATGGTATGAAAAGCGCTGCCGTGCGACTCAGTCGCACACAAACTGTCCTCGCCAAACAACGAGCGAGGAATGCTAAACAAATGACTCACGAGCCGCTTCTGCACACCCTCCGCGGCGAGCTGCGCCGGGCCGCCAGCCTCGCGTGGCGCCCGAGCGAGGAAAGGGCACCGCAGTACAGCATCAGGACCAGGCATCCTGCATTTTGGAAACCACCATACAAGTTATGACTGCTGACTGCGGCAGGAGGCGAAACTGAAGCAATCCACAAGGAAGCAAAGCCACAATTTGGGAAATATTTTTCCTGCTTAATGTTGACTACAGCGGGACTCTTAATGAGCTGTGAATGACTGCAGAAATCCTCGCTCTGTGTACACTGTCCTATTTTTATCCTAAGAACTACTCTTCGCTTTCAGAGGGCTACCAGGTTTGCCAAACTAATAGGATTTTGGCACCGTTCGCACTATTTATACATCAGTGCGTTGGTCTCTTGGATACAAAACCTTTCAGAAATACATAATCACAAGGTCCAGCAAAACCAGAATAATAGTTATGCAGGCAATCAGGTCTTCCCTCTGTGAAGTAAGTGAACCAGAAAGTTCTGTGAAGAATGGCATCCTCTAACCATTTCAATAATAATAATAGACTTATTACAGTGCCTGAATATAAGGGAAGCTCTGAAAGCCTGTCTAGGAACTCTATTTACAGCTTGATACAAATTGCAAATGTACCCTGGCGACTCCACTAGCTCGAGGCAGGAGAACAGATGCAGCTGCCACCCCAGCCGGGGTTTGCTATTAGAAGATATGCGTTAGGCTATCATTTCTGCATGATACTGTAAAAAGGGAAACCAGTATTTTCAAATTGGCTGCACCAGCAAAGCACAGCACAGTGTCACAGGGTCAATAACAACCACCGCAGCCTTTCATTAAAGCACAGGATTTCCATCACACAAATTTCACAGGCCTCCTGCAAACGATAGATGGGTGACAGCTTTGCCAAAGAGGCGGATCAAATCACAGGGGTAGATAATACTAAGCTGAAGACAAGGATCTCTACAGCTGCCTATGTTTGCATATAGGTAGCTCAGGTGTCAGCTGAGCTCAGACAGCTGTAACACTCAAAAATCCCCCTAAAGGTTTTCTCCCTGCCCCTGCAAGAGGTAGTGTGACCTATAAAGGTGACAAAACATAGCAAAAGTATTAAAAATAATAAACTGAGGGGACCAATGTGAAGAGAAGAATTGCAAAAGTATCACAAACACTTATTATTCATAGTGCACATAATAAACAGCTGAAAAGAACTGGCTTCTTACGCTCAAAAATGATGGCATTTTTAAGTGGCATTACCAAACTATCGCTCAGGTAATAAGTGGAAGTGATGCAGTCCACTTTCAGACAGTAATAATCTTTCACTTCTAAATTCTCTCCCGGGGTAAAGAAATGCTGCAGACTGACTGAGTAGCTCCAGTCTTAACAGAGGCAGAAGAAGGGGATGAAGAGGTCTAACTCAGTACATGGAATGTATCTTCTTTTCTGGATATATTTATGTTTTTAATATAAATTCATAGATGTACAGGAGAAGAAACTCAGAAAAAGGGAGTTTAAAAGTCTAATTTTTTTTTTTTTACTTTTTAAATATGAAATATAGAATGACTAAACTGTTTAAAATAGAACTGATTCATGGAGAGAAAGGAAATACTTAACGGCTTGTTCATGCTTAAGGACTCTTACAACAAGTATCTGTTACTCATGCATCTGAAGGATTTGCATCGACTTCGGAGCTACCAATTTGAAAATGCTTTGGACACTACGACATGAAGAAACATCCCAAAGGGCTTTAAGTTGAAAGTCTGCGCACTCTCTGAACGCTCTAGTCCTTTCATGGACGGAAGGAAAGATTAACAAGGGGAGGGGAGGAAAAAAAATCTGGAAAAAAATTTTGGTTTTGGAAAAGAGGTGGGGGTAGGAAAGGTTTTCTACGCACAAAAAGAAGCAGCTATCTTTCTTGCAGTCTGTTCATCCTGGCGCAGGTTCAAAAACACACAAACTCTAAGTATGCATCTAACTACCGTCTTGTGACCGCGTCCAGCTGACCTTCGCAGCGAAACAGAAAATACGACATCCTAAAGCTGTAGTAGCCAGTCCAAAAAGCTGGAAACAGTTCTGTGTAATCAAATGGACTTTCTAAAACACAAAACCTGATTGCACGTGGAAGCGACACAAACTCAGTTATGCTCATCTGGAACACGTTTTACTTTACCAAACAAATCGAAAGACTGAGATCAGGCTATTAAACAGGGCATATCTCACTGTCTGAACTGATACACTTAACACACACAAAATCCACCCCCCACCAGCCCCAAACCACTCCTGCCCACCAAAAAACCCCAAATGCTTCATGTCATGAAAAAAATAGCGTTAGAAGAGACACAAGGGATTATGCAGCCCTCACCTCCCACTGCCTAAGCTGCATCATTCTTACTGCAATTTATATTCATTATTTTTTCATCTCATGTTACGGACCTATTATTATAAGGAGAGAAAGTTAGCAGAAAGCAGACACAACACACTTCTTCGCATCCATCCTTATTAAGGAATCGTCCAGTACAAACTCTTCTTACAGCTCAAAGAAACACGTTTTGTTAAAGCTTGGAAGTTAGTTTCAAACTTAGCCAAAAGGATCTTACCAAACTAGTAAGCAGCCGAACAGCCCTGTGAGGGAGGTTATAGGGTAAAAGCCAGGAACAGGAGCAGCACGTGACAATAAAATAATACAAGTCTCCTATATCTTTTTATTGTTCTTTGCTGCAACAGCAAAACTTCCTACGCACACATCTTTTGCAAATCTGCACTTTAAGTGGTATTTCATATTTACAAAAGTCTTCAGCGTAGCTGAACATGGCCTTGCAGAGGACCCCTGGCAAAGCAGCGTATCCCTCAGGTAGCAAATATGGACACAGGGGTAGAGGAAGGCAGAAAGAAAAAAGCCAGTAGTGCTATAGCAACAGGGAAAATGGAAAGCAACAAGGTGAAAAACAAAAACAAACAAACCACCAACCCCAAACCCTCCAATGGCTTTTTACGCAACTTCCTTCTTTCACAAACTAAATGCAAAACGTGCCCTGGGATTAGGGGTTGAATTTCAAGTCACTCCCCCCACCCACTGCCCCACTCTCGTGCTCTTTGCCTGGTTTTATTAGAACCATCTGCGCGATCCTCCCTTTTGGGTTTCTATGT